AGTCCTACTGGCGAAGGATGCGATAGAGCCGGTCCCTCCAGCCGATATGAGGTCGGGGTTTTACAGCCCGTACTTCATTGTACCCAAGAAAGGCGGTGGGTTACGACCAATCTTGGACCTGCATGTCTTGAACCGGGTCCTTCACTGGTTAGCGTTCAAGACGTTGACACAGGACAGGTGCATCTGTCCCCGAGATTTGGTTTGCAGCGATTGACCTGAAGGATGAGTACTTCATTTGTCGACCCTTCCGCACCACAAACCATTGCTGCGGTTCGTGTCCGAAGAACGAGCATATCAGTACGAGGTCCTGCCCTCCGGGCTGTCCCTGTCGCCCCGGGTCTTCACGTAAGTTGCGGAGGCATCCTTTGAGGATCAGTAGGATCAGTTGTGCGAACACAGGGACTTGGTGCTCTCGCACCTCAGCCAGTTGGGCCTTCGGGAAAAGAGCAAACTCTCCTCAATGCAGAGGATCTCTTTTCTCGGTATGGAGTTGGACTCGGTCGAACAGACAGCACGCCTCACGCAGGAACGTGCTCAGTCGGTGTTGAACTGCTTGAATACATTCAAGAGCAGGATGGCGGTCCCACTGAAACAATTTCAGAGGCTCCTGGGGCATATGGCAGCTACTCATGCCGCTGGGGCTGCTTCATATGAGACCGCTTCAGCACTGGTTCCATGGCCGAGTCCCGAGGGAGTTCCCCTAGAACAGGTCTCCAGGCATGCTGTGGTTCACACGGATGCCTCAACCACCGGCTGGGGGACCACGTACAACGGGCTTGCAGTGTCAGGGGTTTGGATGGGACCCCAACTGCACTGTCACATCAACTGCCTCGAGTTGCTGGAAGTACACCTTGCCTTGATTCGTCTCAAAGGGCACTTACGAGGCGAGCATGTACTAGTCCGCATGGACAACACTGCGACTGTGTGAAAACTCTACTCCTGCTTACACTGGCCTCCATCAAGAGGGTAGGGGACCTGCATGCATTTTCGGTCGATGATTCGTGCCTAGAGTTAGGGCCGGCAGACTCCCAGGTAACTCTGAGGCCCCGGCCCGGCTATGTGCCCAAGGTTCCCACTACTCCCTTCAGAGATCAGGTGGTGAGCCTGCAAGCGCCGCCCCCGGAGGAGGCAGATCCGTTCAGGTTGCGAGCTCACTTAACTAGAAGTGTTGCATCCTCCTGGGTGCTGGCACGTGGCGCCTCGCTGGCAGATATCTGTAGAGCTGTGGGCTGGGCGACCCCTAACACGTTCGCTAGATTCTATAGCCTTCGTGTGGAGCCGGTATCCTCCTGTGTTCTCACCTCAAATGGGTAGAAGCACTGAGTGGACCCGTCTCTGGGTCGGCTTGCTAAAACTGCTCCAGAGAGTCCGTATAG